AGACAGTATATATATATATATATATATACGGTCATCATATATACTCTCAATGGGTGGAAGATCAAAACCAATACAACTTAGCCGCAGCTTTTTTTTATTCCGTTCTATATATTTCTTATTTTCATTATTTACTTTTCACTTAAACTACCAAAAACAGACAAAAAACTTAAAATATTCAAAGTATGCTATAAATAACCATAGGACCTGTGAATTGTGTACTTTTATCTATATAGACCGTTTTGTAAGCGATGATGACGTAAAGTGTGATTGTCCGGTTGCGTGTGACCATACTGCCTATCATTCCCGTATCTCAACTGCACTTTGGCCGGACACTACTGCTATCAAAAGACTTGAAAAGACGCATGGATATACTAAAGAATACATAAGGTAGATGATCACTTGCATATTTTTGATTATTGTGTATTTGTAACTAGTTAAGTAATTTTAATATTTAAATATTTAAAACGAATATTTTCATTATTTCAACAAAACAAATTAGACAGAAATACAGCATTAAACTAACTTTTACGTAGTATTACCCCAAATACTTGATGTAAACATTTGTTCAAGGCCGTTGATAGTAACTAATTAGATTGTAATAACATAAAATAAATTTTTATTTAAATATCATATTTTCATTAGTATTTGAATAATTGTTTATATAGGTGATTGGCTAAATATTATTATTTTATACTCATACACTCATGATGATCATTTCACGTTCATTAGCATTTGTTTCCTAAAATGCACACCTTGGAATGTGCCTGAATTGTGAAAAATATAGACAAATATTGTTGTGATGAAATAACTCATACAAATTTAAGCATTATTGATTTTGTTAACATAATTACACAAATACGTTCAATATTTTAATTTTTAGAGGATTTATATTCCAAGTGCATGCTTATTGCCATACTGTAAAGATCATTACATTTTATATGTAAATTTTGAGCTAAACTTTATTTCAGAATGAAATAAATATTTGTTTATTTGTTTATTTAATTCTTTATGTTATTAGCTTTCAATAGAATTCAGAACAAAATAGAAAATCATAAATTTTGCAATTTGATTTATTTAAAACTTTTTTTGAAAATTAAATGTAAATCTTATTTTTTTTAATGTAATATTTCAGAGAAAACATACTTCAAGTGAGAATTTATTTTGAAGATTTAGATGTGGAGGTTACAGAACTAGTCTCATCATACTCTGGTATACAGTTACTTTGTGAGTGCATATTTTTGTATTTATATCAAACAGCAAGTATAATTTAGAACTATATAGAAATATGTAATATTTATGACTTTTCAACTAATTTAACAACAGTTCCAGAATTCCCGCATGCCCCGCAATTACTCATATTGTTTGTACATTTAAGCTATAGTTTTGTTACCATTAATATTTAATGATTAGTTTTATCTGATGTGGATCATCCACCTATCATAATCTTAATATGTAAGATAAACAATTAAATGTATATAAGACTATGAACGTAGAGAAATTTATATACTTTTCTGTAAATATTATCTGTTTCTATATTTCAATAGTTGAAATTACTGGGCCTACATATTTTGGTTTTGATTGGAACATTCTTTTAAAAACAAGTAACCATTCATGGCTGTGGTTATTCGTACATATAAAGTACTGTATATCTGTATATTATATTGATAATGTCAAGTTAACATATCTAAATATTCAAAAATATGTAAATCTATAGACCATTTTATCGGATTTATTTTTAAACAGCGCCACCAACGTCTTGCAACTCGCTGGGGGCTTGCTGAAGCTTAGCCTGAGCAGCTGGCTAGTTGTAAATAGGGCACCACGCATGGGATAGCCTCACTAGACCTCTGCTTGTTTTTAATATAAACATTTGTGCTCTTAGTAATTCAATTATATCTTTGATTTAATCCGTGATGGTAACTACGTAGAGTAAAAACTAGGCCTCTGAAAGTACCCCTCCCAAGTGGTGGTTGCCAGCTTATCGGAATTTTTATTTCAAATTCGCGAAAATGGTGTGTACCGTATAAATTTAGTGAGATTTTGAGGGGCACAGGGGCACTCCTATTCATTACTCACAGGTGCTCAAGTATTGGGAGTATCTAACTAAAACAATTAAGCAAGCAAGCAAAACAAACCAGAGAACTAAGAAAAAGCAGCCGACAGCAGATACGTCTTGAGAGCTCTTTTGAACAAAGCAGTAGACTGACATAAATGAATATGTATTGGCAGTTTATTCCAAAGGCGTGAAGCCGCAACAGCAAATGATCGATCACCCCATAAATGTGTAGACCTAGGCTCAACAAGCAGAAGTTTGTCAGTACCCGAGCGGAGAGATCGCGATGGCACGTACCACACAAGCAGTTCACGAAGATACCCAGGACCTTCATCTATCAGAGTCTTAAAAGTAATGAACAAAATCTTGAAAATGTTCCTAAAAGAAACAGGAAGGAATCAGTTTTGCTGTTGCTTTCTTAAAGATGTACTTCCTAATCCTTCTTATATTGCGCAAATGATATGTTGAGGAGCTAGTAATTTTGGTAATATGCCTGTTCAAGGTAATTGAAGAATCGAGTGTAATACCCAAATTCTTATCTTGAGGTACCCGATCGATCTGACATTCACCAATGTTGAAGTGGGGGTCTTGGCAATTCTTCCTATGTTGAGGTGAACTGAAGATGATGAATTCAGTCTTGTCCTAATTTAGTTGCAAAAATTTTTCAGACATCCAGGTCTTCAACTCAAAAATACAATTTTAGAGAGATTCTACATTTATATCCACTTCCTCGGAAGGTTTGAAGGAAATATAGATCTGTGTTTCATCAGCATAAATATGGTAAGACAAGTTGAACTTTGATACAATTTCACGAATTGATTTTAAAAGAAATATTAAAAAGAGTTCGTTTTTTCCATTCACAGCTGAAATAGGTGGTAATATGGGTCTACTTTGTGGAATGAGTTTGATCACATTAGTTGAATTTGTGGACTTCGCATTTTTCTCTTTGATGCAACGAATATTCGGAAATAAAAAGAAGATTCGTCCTACTACAAAATAATTTAATCGTGATATATTGGAACCAGAGAAGCTGGAATTGAAGTAATGACCGTGGCAGCAGAAGGCGTACAACGACTGCACAGGTGTGGTTAACGATCACAAAATAAACAATCAATGATTATACTTTACTCAAAAAGTAAATTTTATATATTTCCTACTTTTTGTTTGACATAAGAACACCTATTGCGATATGTGATATATACATGCACATATCAATATATATTTTTCAATAATTATGTAACACTATTCGCAGGTATAGATTATAGTTATATTAACGATACTCAGGTTTGTGTTTATTTTATACACCTAACAACACAATACTAAAGCTGCATTCCAGTATTTAGAAGCGTGTATCGAGAGTCATAATGATTTATTTTTAAATTAATCTTTCACACAAGTGTATACTTTGAAAAGCAAAAGTGCGTCCGGAACAGAAAGCTTAAAGACATATGGTTTCAAGATATATTAAATTCAAAGAACAACTAAAACCCAAAACCGCTTAAACAAGATAATTTAGGTTAAAACCTTCACCTTGTTGCGTAATAACCTTTACGAAAAAAAAAAGTACTTAATGGTATTTATGTACGTTTGTAGCCTTTTTTCCAATGTAAAAAAAATCTTTGAAACATTTTGTCAATGAGAGAAAAGCACACAGACACACACAGAACCACCCCAGACACACAGACACACTCTATTGTACCTTTCACCTTTCTAATAAAGAGGCGAGAGTAATTAATCTCTTTTTCCCTCCCCTTACTTCTCTTCAAATGTTACCCCTCTCCTCCAAATAAAACTGTCCTACACTTTATCCTGTACTTTCAAAAACAATACAAAATGCTAAGTATCTTTCTTCCTTCTTCTATCTCTAAAAATTGCTATCATTTACCCCTTCTTATTTATCGATAAACAACTATGAATGTCAATAAAATCGAATAAAATTAAGAAAATACAGTTTCTATTATGTTAGGCTATAACTAGAACATAGAAAAACATTCCTTCCCCACATCGGGTAGGTAATGCAGAATTACCTGCTTATAAGAATATGAAGGACCAGAATTATAACAAAGTAAACTGCTGCAATAACATTATGGAGATTGTTTCCATCAGTATTTGTAGTTTGGAGCTACCATGCAAAGAGAATCTAAAAAACCCCTCCGTTTAAATTTGATATAGAGGACTAAATTTGTAATTTTCTTTAACTTTATAGTTTATTCAAAGACCTATATCGCTGTTATTTAGTTGAGAGATTAAAATTTTTAAATACAATTATTTGTCTAAAATAGAAATGGGAACATTTTAAGCAATTAACATTTTATTAAAAATGTTAGTTTATAGTCCAACTACCTAAATCACACAATATCTAGATTAGGTTTTCAGCTTTAACATAAAACATTAAAATGCTAAATAGAAATTCCAGTTGCATTTTCAAAAAACAAATGATCAGATGAAATCAATTTAAAATTAGGACATGTATATAATAATGTACTGTACTTTACATCATTTGAACGTTTGTTTAAAAAAATACACGTCAATTATACATTGTAATCGAATATGGTACGAACCATCTATATTTGATTTATTTGTGAACGCATATTTATTATCTTTTAACGGATATTTTGCATCTTTATAATATTTCTGTATATACAATTGTGAAATGTATTTTACGTTTTGTGTAGAATAACTGGACTAAGGCAACAAGTTTAGTGCCACCATCGGTGATACCGCCACTATTAGTGAGTTTTATCATTTATTCATCGTCGAATCAGATTAATTGTTTCAAATTAGCACCACCATATTTTTAATTTATCTTTATTACTATTATTATATATTTTATTATAAATTGTTACTAAAATAGTGGGAGCCGGTGGGCCCAGTAATTACGTTCTCGGTCTCTCAAATTTAAGGTTGCAGATTCGAACCTTTGTTATAAATTGCGCTTGGTGACCTTGGGCAAGGCACTAAAACTACGTTAGTTTTTTTCTCTACCCAAGAATATAAATTTGTACCTGGTTTGATGATTTAGCATTGAATGTATTAGTTTGTATCAGTATGAAATTACAAGCACGACTAGGAATACGTCCAGGGAATGTTTTGTATCTTTATAATATTTCAGCACATACAATTATGAAATGTATTTTAAGTTAGAAACTCGTTCATATAATTTTAACAGATTTTTGTAGAATAACTGGACTAAGGCAACAAGTTTAGCGCCACCATCGGTGATACCGCCACTATTAGTGAGTTTTTTCATTTATTCATCGTCGAATCAGTTTAATTGTTTCAAATTTGCACCACCATATTTACTTTTCACAATAATTATTACTATTATTATATATTTTATTATAATTTGTTACTAAAATAGTGGGAGTTAGTGCACCCAGTAATTGCGTTCTTGGTTTCTCAATTTTAAGGTTGCAGATTCGAACCTTTGTGTTGTGCGTGTTATGCGTTTGGTGACCTTGGGCGTTAGTCTCTTTCTCTAACGCCCAAGGTCTCTTTCTCTACCCAAGAATATAAATTTGTACCTGGTTGATGATTTAGCGTTGAATGTATTAGTTTGTATCGGTATGTAATTACAAGCACGACTAGGAATACGTCCAGGGAATGGAAGAAGTTCCACTTTGCGCTAGTTTGCTAATTATGATTGTTCCAAAGGCACAAATAAGGCACCGTATAAACGCCTATATATTACATATTATTATTAATAATTTAATTTGTGGTTGTTTACGTCACAGTAATAAATACTTTGTTGATTTTTACCGCAAGGTCTTGCACTTGGGTTGAATTAGTAGGCAAGCAGATCAGATTAGATGCTTTTTTCGGGTTGAGGTGGAAATGGAATTACTTTCGGTAATATTGATATTTACTGAAAATATAGGTTTTGAAAAGTTCAAAACTCAAAATTACCGATAATCCATTTGAGGAACACCTCCAAATGAAGCATTCAAAATGTGATTACCATAATTTGTTTAATAGTGCAATTTACCTTTAGTCTCTGCTGTATTAAAATAATAATTTCTCTTCTAGCAAAATCAGTCAACATTTAGGGATGCTGCCCGTGCTCCCTTAAGATACCAAAGTACAAGGAAATGACCCCCTTTGATTCTTAATTCTCATTGGTCAAATGACACGTAATCTTATTCAAGCATCAATTAGATAGAATGGGATGTGGTAACTTAAATAAAATTCTTACTTAAGTTCTAGCATTAATCTAAGTAACACTTCATCTGTAATTTTGTATCTAGTAAACATATATGTATTGTTTGATCAATTCTGCAATAAAATACTTTACTCTATGTTCGTCGTACTTTTATTGTGATTATTTCGTACTAGTCAGGGGCGGATCCAGAAATGTCCAAAAGGGGGGGGCGGAAGGGGGGCCGGAAGTTGGGCCGGGAAGGAAGGAAGGAAGGAAGGAAGGAAGGAAGGAAGGAAGGAAGGAAGGAAGGAAGGAAGGAAGGAAGGAAGGAAGGAAGGAAGGAAGGAAGGAAGGAAGGAAGGAAGGAAGGAAGGAAGGAAGGAAGGAAGGAAGGAAGGAAGGAAGGAAGGAAGGAAACTAACTTGTCACAAAGTGATAATTGAGGACAGTTAACCACTTGGAAAGTTCAAAGTTGTTGAACCTGAGGCCATATAAAAAGATTGTTGATCGGTCGGTTCATAGGGAGGCTGTTTTTTTGTTATTTTTGTTTAGTTTAAATTGTTTAGTTTTGCTTTGTGTTTTGCTTTTTTTTTTAATCTGTATTGAAACCACTCCCTGATACATGAAAAGTCTTCAAACACCACGTAGAGAGCAAGGCCTCATTTTAACCTGACGGATATTCCAGTGTCGAGTTTGATCGGTTGGAATTTATACACTCCAACTCCCTGTACGAACAAACAAATGAAAGACAAAATAGTGTCACAAAAAAATTCATAGGCCTAGCCGAATTTGAATTGTGGGCGGAAAGACGATATTTTCGAGATTTTGTTTATGTAGGGAAAGGAAGATCAGCAACTTATCTTTTTTACATGGCCTTTGGTTGAGTGATTATTTTTATGTAAGGTGGGGACGATCAACAAATTTTTTTTAATTGTTAAACCACTGGAATCTAGGTGACTGTGTACCTCGTGTTCAAATCAGCTAAAAAATCCAGAGTAAATATCTACAGTAAAGTCAATAGTTTTTGTAATTGCATGCAATTGCATTATTGACCTTCTTGAGTTTGAGCTGGGGATAAATCTTTTTTCTTATTTTTTTTTTTTTTTTTTTTGTCTGTGACTTATGACAACGTTTTATTTTTGTGTGTTTTTTAAGCGTTTTTTGTTTATAAGTTATTTATGCTTGTAAAAAAATATTTTAAAACACCCTGTTATTGGAAGTTAATTGTTGTTGGTTATGGTTTTTGAAATATATAAATAAGTAGATAAAATTTAGGCCTGATAATGTCAGTGATTGTTCCATCTAGTTCATAACGAATGTCAATCGATAATGCCAATATCTGAGTTGCTGGGTATAATGTATAGAAAACAAATATGCTAATATTATTTTACCAAATCTAATGAGAATGTATTACGAGAATTTATTGCATATACAGGAAATCAAGCATGCATGGATTGTGTTGTATATTAGTATGACGTCATGACTATGTGTTTAATTTAACAATCTCAATGTACGTTCTGATTAGGTAATTGCGGATTCATTACCATCTTTTAAAAAGTACACATATCACATAGGCGTGTATTCTTGAGGAGACACTGAGCTTGTCATAAGCATTTCAGAAGCACGGTGTGAAATGACTACGGAGGCGTGTCCATGTGATTTCAACAAGTTCACTGGTGAAACGTCACTCCATGGAATTCGATTCATTGGGAATAAGGAAATTTCAACTAAAAGAAGGTAAACACTACTGATGTTGTGCATTATTTTATACGTAAGGCTAGAAAAAAAATATCAAGATAAGTATATTATATTCATTTTGACTATAATGTGTTTAATTATTCGTTTTATTTCGGTTTGAAAATGTTAAAGACGGTAGCACAAACGCTAAAATTATATAATCCACATCATTAAAAAAATGATTTTCAATTATTGTGTGCACAGTACCTATACAGCAATAATAATTGTGTCCCAAAAGAAAATCAAAGAAACCACACCAGTTTAGTTCGTATATGTTTGTAGGACATTTAAACATTAATTAACCAGAGAAGACTGTACATTTTTATATGCTAATCCACAATTAATATAAATCTTAAATTATCAATAGTATCAGTGCTCCTTTAAAATGGCCTTACTCCTATTTGATTTAAACTTTTTTCGTTGCATGTGTTCAAAATACTTAGAAAAAATAAAAGAAAATAGTCTACTGACTATATGACGTCGATATGTCTATGTGATATGCATACCCTCTAATTTAGCTAGTAATAAAATCGCAATTACTTAAACATAACAAATACTGACCCGATGAAATTAACGTCATGACGTCATAAGATACACAAGAATTATATTTATATTTTATACAATACACTAAGTAAATCAAATAACGATTGATGTTCATTATAAACTTGATGAAAATATTTGCAAACATATTAGTATCAACCCTTAGGCTAATAACATAATACATTCGTTAGCCATGGATGGTCACTCTTTCAGTGGAATTCATACCGCAGTACAAAGTTGACGTAATTACATTTTGATAAAACGTTTGGCACTTTAATACACCATGTTCATATGTCTTACAATTAGGCAACGAATAGAACATCAATACAACAAAATGTTGAAAAAAAATATGCATTCACATAATTATACAGAAAGGCCTACAAATAAATGTATCTTACCAAAAAAAAACGTTTATCAAATGTAAAAAAAAAAAAAATACTGACTGGAATTAAACCTAATATCGTTTGCTGTTGTCGCTATACTTTATAATGTATCTCAGACTGCAAGACACAACCATTGTTTTCCAAAGTATTTTTGTGTATTATTATTTTATATTTTAATTTATATACACACAAACATATATACATATATAATATATATATATATATATTATATATATATATTATATATATATATATATATATTGTATATTAGTATAAAACTTTTAAAGTTTCAATATATGTTTTTATGCTCTTATCTCCCTATTTCGACAAAAGAACAAAAAGAGCGACATTCGGTATTATTACGCAGATTTTACATTATAGTGACCTCTTTGGCGTTCTATAGAGAAGGTATTAGTGTAACTCTCTATGGATGTTACTAGATGAGTTCGAACTTCAATGAATGAGCCAGACACCAAGTAAGCTGGATGTTAACGGTTTTATTCTATACAAAGTGTGAGCCTCCAACAAGACGCAGCTTGGCTAGTCGACGAACCCCCACGAGAGAGCGAGACTCCGCGGGAACAACCCATAATAGAGTCCTTGAAAGTTCAAAGGTTACACTACTCCCCCTCTCCCTAAGAAGTGTCCCACTTCTATTATGCATGCAAAAAAAAATAATAATTCATAAGCCTAACTAAGCATTATAGTATAAGCAATCTTCTTATGGAATTAACAGCATTTATAGCATTTATGAAATTAAATATTTATTGTATTTATTTAGCTGGTTGTTCCATTGGTTGACATCTGAAGGTATTCCCTGAGCAATTGATGACTCCATTGATGAGATTCTTGTGACAGTTGACATCCTTCCAGCATACGAAGTGTTGCGTACGGTGAAAAGAAGCCAAAAAAAATAGTGTCCCAAATAAAAGAAAAATGTGTAGCATATGAATTGCATATGTTACATACTGTATATAAAAAAAATTCCAAAAATAAAGCAACAAAGCAGCATACGAATAGCGTACGGTGTAAAAAAAAAATATCTCAAAGAAATCAGCAAAGCAGCAGCATACGGATAGCGTATGGTGCAAAAAAAAAATATCTGTATTATAAACACTGTCAAAAATAAAAAATTCAATCTACCAACATACGAATAGCGTATGGTACAACAGATTCAATCCTGTAGCATGCGAATGGCGCATGGTACACACTCAAATAAATCATACAATATAAATACAATGTAGCATACAAATTGCGTATGGTACCATATATAAATAAGAAAAATAAGAAAACAATAATCCCCTCCAAATAAATAAAAAAAATTTTCTGCAAACAATAATCCATGGAACTTGTAGTAGTATCAGAAACGGTGAAAATTATTAAGTTTATCAGAATCAATTCAACAATCGCGCAAGCCGCGCAAGCAAGAAATGGCCCAAACACCAGCTAAACTAGAACCAAAAGAAAAACAAAATCCTAACTGTTATAACATCTGCGTAAAAAA